CTGATTACAAAAATAATGTAATAAAGCTAAAAATGTTGCATTCTGTTTCCCTTCCATTTTTGTTTCCGTGATTTTTTATCGATTGCAAATCTACATTGTTGTGTTTTTTTTTTCTTTCTTCTAATTATCTCGTTTTGTGCTCGCTTTGTGAGCGCGGTGATTAATCGATGAGTCACGAAGCTGATATGTATAAAACGAGTTTGTCACCGTACCGTTAAAATAAAACATATTTTATTTTGGAGAGTGCGCAGCGCCGGCAATTTGGGACTGGGATTTCGGCAGAAAAGCAGTGAACTGGATACCAATACGATGGACGACATCATATCATGTGTAGTTTCATCTATCAAAAGTCATTTATTTATTTATTAAGTTGCACCAACAAAGTGATCATCAATACAAAACATTGACAAATTGACAAAAGTTCATGGCAGATGTCACCTCAATTATAGGTGCAATCGACAGTGCATTAACAACAAAAATAAAAATAAAATATACAGCTAAGATTTGATTACATTTCATTCATTGCTTGCTTAAGATTAATTTAATTGGGAGATGATCCGCGACAGATTTTTCCTGTAAGTAGTGAGACAATTAGAAAAAACATCTATTTCACTTAAAATAAGTTCAGCGCAATCGGACGACTCCGAAGGAACATTGACGGAGACCGCGCTACCGTGGACATTATTGCAGTCCCAAAGGATTCTGTTTAAGGGCGAGTAAGCACCTAAATTCGAACGAGCGGGCTTTCTTATAAACGGTTTATGTTTATTCGTTCTTGGTAGGTACTTAGGGGCTGATATTTTTATCATCGTATCACGTTACTGTCTTGAATTGGTCGTTGTTTTATTTGTGCACAAGTTTTTATATTTGTAATACATAATGTATGTAATCACTGCATAGTATAAAACAAAGTCGCTTTCTCTGTCTCTATATCCTTATGTATGCTTAAATCTTTAAAACTACGCAACGGATTTTGATGCGGTTTTTTTCATAGATAGAGTGATTGAAGAGGAAAGTTTATATGTATAATAACATCCATTAAATAGTGGAGAAATCAATAATAAATTACAGTTTCCGAAGCGAAGCGAGGGCGGGTCGCTAGTACATAATAATACATAATATAGCTCGAATGGGTAGTTAATACAATCCTGCCTATATCGGCCGTCGTTCCGTCGTACTGTACAGTTGAGATCACGTTATGACGTCTATGAGCTACGGCGATGACCACTTTACCCCGCGTGGTCTGTGAGTTCGTTCACCGATCTACACAATAAAAATTATCATCAATTATATAAGTATCATAATTAAAGTCATAGGTGAGAAATAATAATGTTAATTTTAAATGCCCAGCGAAGCGAACGGGTACAGCTAGTAATGTATAAAATTGACGTAATTCCTGGTTGCGGGTCGCGTTGTAAGGCAATTACTGTCGCGATGAATTTGTGCGTTCCAATTTGAATCGTTACGCAGCTTTCCGTATAATACAAGCAAGAGATCAATCATGAGAACCATGCGATACTTCGGATGGGTTCAGGTAACCGCTTAACATCGTATGGGTCGTGTTCTCGTCGCCTCAATTCTGGAGGAACACGTAACAAATAAATGATGCCGGTCATCGTTCTCGTCGAACCCGTCGCTTGCGACGAAGGGCTCGACGAGTAAATTAACCCTCAGACACACCCCACCGAGTTTCTCGCCGGATCTTCTCAGTGGGTCGCGTTTCCGATCCGGTGGTAGATTCTGCGAAGCACGGCTCTTGCTAGGGTTCGTGTTAGCAATGTCGTCAGGTTTGAGCCCTGTCAGCTCACCTACTAGTTAAGGTTACGCTGAAATAGCCACTCAGGGCTCTCAGGTTAGGTAGAAAAAAAAATTACGGCGGGTCGCTAATTAATACCCGCCTTCGTCAAAACACAGTACAGTTAAGTTCCTCCTATGGGTGACGTCATAAATGTTTGCACACACACACAGCACACGTTCAGCTAGTGAAGGTTCCTCAAACTGTGTCATTATACCAGCTGCGGTCGTTATCAGCTAATATCTCGGTCGGTCGTGTTCGATATCTTCGGAGAAATATTTTTGAAGAGACTTTTGTGAATTGGAATAATTTGTCACAATCGTTTATTCATCACGCCGCGCTGTCTGTTTCCTGAAATAGCTGATAGTAAGCAGTTACGATCGCGTGAAGCGTTTCCTGTTAGGAATACAAACTAACATTGCTTCACTTTGCAGACGGTAATGTTATTAGACCCTATATATATTACAACGTGAATGTCGTCCTCCACTTTGAGGCATGAGGTCGAATTGAGGCCGTCAGCGCAAAAGTGCCCTAAGCTTACCTGAGCTTACTATACTAAGTATGGAGACAATGAGGTCTGAATTTACTTTTACACTGCTTCATAGGCAAAAACAAAACGCGCAAAAATTATGTTGACAAAGCCATCTGTTGTTATCTATGGGCGAAATTAGGGATAGGCCGGTTTTGCATCAAAATTGATTGATTTAAATAAATTGCATTAGGTATAATAGAACCAAGAGTATGAAAAAATATAGGATAGGCCACTTTTGTGCTGAGGACCTCAATTTCAGTTTTATGTGATTAGTTTGAGGTATAAATGGTATCCTCTCTGAAGATAGCAATGAATTTTTTTTTATTGCTTAGATGTGTGGACGAACTCACAGCCCACCTGGTGTTAAGTGGTTACTGGAGCCCATAGACATATACAACGTAAATGCGCTACCCACCTTGAGATATAAGTTCTAAGGTCTCAAGTATAGTTACAACGGCTGTCCTACCCGCCAGTTAATTTCGAAAAGGCCGAAATCTATTGATCTGGTAATCTGGCATTAACATTTTGTGTCACAATATTTCGTTGTAAAATAACACCGCTTATAATTGGAACATTTGCCGCTAGGGGCGCTGTTCCAACTGCATATACAAATTTGAGTTAACTTTTACGCTATCGAGAACGTTAAAAAACTCGCACTATGTACACTGATAATTGAAGACGTGAGGATGAAGGGGTTAAGTACCATTTTTAAGATTTTTGACGTTTTACATTGAATGAAGGTGAAATGTACTTATAAACCATATTAGACCTTAACATATTAGACCTTCCGGGCTTAAAGGCTATTTTTAGAAATTTCATGTGATGTAGGCATAAGTCGTCGTGGCCTAAAGGATAAAACGTCTGGTGCATTCGTATGTAGCGATGCACCGGTGTTCGAATCCCGCAGGCGGGTACCAATTTTTCTAATGAAATACGTACTCAACAAATGTTCACGATTGACTTCCACGGTGAAGGAATAACATCGTGTAATAAAAATCAAACCCGCAAAATTATAATTTGTGTAATTACTGGTGGTAGGACCTCTTGTGAGTCTGCGCGGGTAGGTACCACCGCCCCGCCTATTTCCGCCGTGAAGCAGTAATGCGTTTCGGTTCGAAGGGTGGGGTAGCCGTTGTAACTATACTGAGACCTTAAAACTTATATCTCGAGGTGGGTGGCGCATTTACGTTGTAGGTGTCTATGGGTTCCAGTAACCACTTAACATCAGGTGGGCTGTGAGCTCGTCCATCCATATAAGCAATAAAAAAAATTTTTTTTTTAAGATTTTTGAGGTTTTACATTGAATGAAGGTGAAATGTACTTATAAACGATATTAGATCTTAAAATTCCGGGCTTAAAGGCTATTTTTAGAAATGTCATATGGTGTAGGAGTTATTTACGAAGAAAAAGTACAAGTAACAAAAGTTTGTTGCCCGTTTTGTCAAAATTAACAAATTGTATCATATCCCCTTCATCCACTCATGTCTTCAATTGACGACGATGACCCCGTGGTCTCCGCGTTGTTAAATTTACGAAGCGCTGCTGCATCTCCATTAATCAGAAGCGCGTTAACGCTTCAAGTGACTCATTAGGTCAATACCTCCTATCATAATGTCGTATGCTAGATTTCACAAATAACAATGTTCCCACACACTTTTTTGCTAAGCCACCGCGTTACAAACACTGGGCTCACAGTATTTCATTCACTAAATAAATCACACAACTAAAATGCAAATGTATAATTAAAAAGGCATAGTTTTGGACTTTCTGGAACCATCGGTTGCCTCTACGTCAATTGTGTTCACAAAATTGTATACGTAAGGGAATCAGTTGCTACTTTTGTTCGTTTAGTGAGAATCAAAACAGTATGTTTTATGGTGAAGTCCTTTTTTTCATTTTGGGATTTTCCTGTCTCGATTTTACTCAATAGTTTCAATGCGAGTCTTTGAGTAGGGTCCTGTAGGGTTGGTACATGCTAATTATTTCTGTTCTAAAATTATTACAAATATTCTTATTGTGTCCTAATTTCCATGTACATAGGTAATAGAATGTACTAAATATGTAATGATGGTTTTTGTTTTTCTGTGTTCAGAACAATAGCTAGTATATTTGGCACGTACAAGACTAACTGGCACGTAATGATGTGTTATTTTGATATTTTGTTGTTACGGTCATTTCTGATCAAGCTCTAACAGACATCTAATACACCCCAATTAATGTTTGTACCATTAGTAAGGAAATGGTTAATCTAATTGAAGATAATTTGAAAATTTAAAGCTCTGATAGTTTGCCTAATATTATCTAATTATGTTGATTTATTTAATAACATTTACCTCATTAAATGAAGACACGTATATAACATTTGGCGTTTGTTGTAGATATATATTTGTGGTTACTCTTTAACGGTCCGGAATGAATGCCGAAAGGATGTTTACACGACAACAATGTGCAGTCCACACAAAAGAACACTATTATGTTTACTTCAATGACGAGTGGATCTGGTGTTGGCGTCCCCTTGCTTCCGGGAAATTAAATTCCCAGACGATATAAAAAAATGAGGGGATACATAACATCAGACGGTTGGGGAGCGGTCGTTGAACTGACTTTCTTATCGCCCAGCCCGGGTCATAATAACGTATCAAAGTTACAATTCTCATACAGTGTTGTACCAACCTGAACTTCCTCGACGATTTGCTGCAGAAGGCCCTTGCCTAACAATAGCTTATGGGGTGGAACAATGTGCGCGTGTATCTGCTCCAGCACGCCAGGTAGCGCATCCGGCTCGTAAAAGACACACGATTGAGCAAAGCCTAACAAAGTGCTTCGCTCCAATTCCTCTTGAAGGCCGACGTACACTCTCATCTGTCTGTCCACTGCCGCCACTTTGTTCAGAAGGACCGTCATGTCGTGCAGTTTCAACTCAAAACGGGTTCCTCTCCCTCCGTTCTTGGCCAGGAACAAGGCCACCGCACCGGCCTTCTCTATTCCCAGCTCCAATCTGTCGATCGATTGCGATATATGCGAGAGTTTTGCCAGTATTAATCTTTCACGTCTTCTGATTAGGGGGAGTTCGACGCCCTCCGATACGTTTAGCGTCTTTCCTACAACGTTCCATGATGCGATTATCTCTTCGCCTATCTCCTTCCCGAGTTTGAGAACGTCGACGACTTCATCGACTAGAGCGCGCGAATTGTGAACGATCGCTAGTAGCACGAGAATCGTGCGCACGAAGCGAACGGACATGACGACGGACGCGCGACCACTGAAGCGGCAAGCTGGAGGTCGCGGGGATACCAGCACGCTTAAAATTATTCCAACTGCTGCTGATTTCGTTGTTACACAGATTTCATGTCATGCAGCGAGGTATGCTTCCGCGAAGACTATCTTAAGTGTCTCCATAACTCTTATAATAAAATGCAAACTTAGAGTCTATGTATATTATTGCTGCGACGTGTTGTTCATTTTGATTACGGATTTTTTTTGGTTTCATACTTTTTCGTCAGTCGATTCTGTGTAAGGTGAACTATAACAGGTCTGGTTTGCGACGACCAATGTTTTTTGCAAAGAAAACCTGTTCTTGACGCGTATTCATTAGTTTCTGTGCTTGTCTCTGTACCTACTGTATACTGTATCTATCTATACAACGAAATCTATTATCGATTTTAAAATTATTTCAGCTTGAGCTTCTAAATTTGCACACATCTTATGAAACGATGACAATATAATATTTTTGTTATTATGCATTCATTTCATATCCTAAACAGGAAAAAACTTTTTTTTAAGTTTCGTTTTCTACTAAAGCTCATTTCATACTTTTTAATCTTTATTATTGTTATTATTTACAAAATATTAAATTCATACTTCGGAAAGAAAAACCCACAAACGCAATGTTTTAAATTCAAGTTGCTCTGCACGCTGTACACTTTAACAACTAATGGTTATTCTCGCAAAATTTAATTCTTTTTTTATTTCCTTGCAACATTTTTGTATCCCCTACTAACATTTCTACAAACTTTCGTTTTCTTTGACGAATAAATGTAAAAAGACGCTTTCATGTTAAGTCGGTTTAAAATTTTTGTTTCGATCAGCCAACTTGCGGCGGACGCGTGCACGGCCAACTTAAGGTTAAGTGGTTTTCGAAACACACACATACCGCAGCGGGAATGCCATACTCATGCCGTGCCTTAAGACATAGACATAAAAAGCTTATTTAGTGTTTGATTGCTTTGCGACTGATGCATCCACCATGCATCTGTCGCAAAGCATGGTAGACAGTATCCACCCGTGGGAGCTTCCATATATAACCAGTTTTCCGTACTTACACTATACAACAGTAATAAATAATATTTGGTTTACACTTTCATTCCCGTCTCTGAGTAAAGACATAAGCCACATAAGGCGCGGCCGTGTCCTATATGGAAAAAAATAACAAGACATTGTTACGCTACCCTGGAACATAACACAGCATGGCATTTTCAGTGTGCTTGTGCGAGTTTTTTAACGTTCTCGATAGCGTTAAAGTTATCTCAAATTTGTATGGAGTTGGAACGTTTGCCTACGTTTGCCGCTAGGGGCGCTGTTTCAAATGCATACAAATTTGACTTAACTCTTACGCGATCGAGAAGTTAAAAAACTCTCACTAAGCACACTGTTCAAGCATTGTTCGTGCGTCCAGTGACGCATATTTGCCTAATGAGTTTCTCGCCGGATCTTCGCAGTGGGTCGCGTTTCCGATCCGGTGGTAGATTCTTCGAAGCGCTGCTCTTGCTAAGGCCAGTGTTTACAACACTCCCAGTTTGAGCCCCGTGAGCTCACCAACACGTCAAGTAGAAGCTGAAATAGCCTCTCAAGGCTATCAGCATAGGTTGGAAAAGAAAAAAACGCTTATGTGAACGGTTCTAATAGGGCAACGATCGACAGATATTTTATTATAGCTGGAATAGCCTCCAGGCTACCAGAGAATAGGTAGAGATAATAGTTAAATTTCTTTAAAATTGTTATGTCTCTGCGTGTTTTCGACAACCACTTATCAGCAGACGGCCCTTCACATATCAAACATATAAGTGACTCTATATCACATTTGTTTTGTAGTAAAGTATAAATTAAAAGTTTAACTGCTTAAAAATAAAATGATTAAAGATATTAATTACATATCCGTTAATCAAGGAAGACATTCCTGCATATATTAACGATTAATTTCTAACTTTTATGTCTTTAACGGCTTTCTGTAGCCCCAGGGGATTGTTTTTTTTTTGGTCCTGCAACGAATTTTTATGTATTTATTCTACAAAACATATAATTAATGTTTTTTTCTAGGGACACGAATTTATAGCATCGATACTAAACGGGATTCAAATGTTAGACGCATGTGTGCATCTTTTAAGAATACTTTTGTGTATATCCTGTATGCTTCCATAGTTACACGTTAATGTACCTATTAATTATGGTCTTCATGTGGATCATCATAGAGGCAACTTATATATTATATACTTGAAGAAAAATAATGTCATTTGTATTACAAACTGTATACTAAGTCTCTGTATTTAAATTTGGCGTGTGATTCTATCTCACCTTAGAACTGAATTATTCAATTTAACTTCTTGAGAGTTTAGACCTTTTTACCATCACACCTCTCGTCACCGGAGTAGGGTTCATCCATGCTATATGGAATCGCTGCGTTCAATGACAGTGCGTTTCCAGATATCATTTCTTTCACGTACCATCCGGCTCGGAAATGAGCTCCCCTCCACGGAGTTTCCCGAACGCTATGATATGTCCTAATGAGGCTTGCCGAGAGTTCTCAATGGTAGGCAGCTATTTGGCTGTGCCCCTGTCACTGCTGATGTCCGTGAGCGACGTTAACCACTCACCATCAGTTGGGCCGTATGCTCGAGTGCCTACAAAGGCAATAAAAATAATATTCGATTCGGGCTTTTCTGTATTATCTTGTTTTGGCTGGATCCCCTTAAATGTCTTCGTTTTCGGATACTATCATGCCTTGTGTTTAACGTATATAACAAACAGTTCCTTTGTTTAATTATGATAACGTAACAAAGTATCAAATAGAACTCATTCGTTGTGTATTCAATGTGTAGCTAAGATGATATCATGCGTTGCGTTCGAACATACTTTTTTTTGTTTTTTTTTGGCTTGGATTTGTGGACGAGCTCACAGCCCACCTGGTGTTAAGTGGTTACTGGAGCCCATAGACATCTACAACGTAAATGCCGCTACCCACCTTGAGATATGAGTTCTAAGGTCTCAGTATAATTATAACGGCTGCCCCCACCCTTCAAACCGAAATGCATTACTACTTGACGGCAGAAACAGGCAGGGTGGTGGTACATACCCGTGCGGACTCACAAGAAGTCCTACCACCAGTATTTTTATAGATGGGTGAACTAGCTCACGGCCAACCTTGTGTTGTGCGCTTACCGAATCCCATAGACACCAGAACAGTTAATTCCACTAACGACCTCAATTTAGGTTTATCTAATGTTTTACAGAAAATTACGGTATAGTTTTAGTATATACGCGATATTATTACTTCATTTTTTACTGCTTAATTGTTGGCAGTCTATGGGTCTATTGCGCGCGTATGGGTAGATGAGCTCACGGGTCTTCAGCACGGTGCTTGGAGCGATGGCGGCTTTGCCTTGCCTCTGGTCATCTGGGTCGGGTAGTTACTCCATCCCAGAAGTCATTAGTAAACATTTGTTAGATGGGTATTGAGAAAAGATATTATATGGCTACGAAATTTGAATGTACCCTCACAGTTGCGACGCTTGATTGAGTTTCATTCATTCGTCACTCGTTCAAGTTATTAATCTTTGTTACAGAGTCTATTCTACGAGATCCTGGCTGGAGTTTGGGTCAGGAACGGCCTCCAGATCAAAGGCCAAGCGATGACCTACATCCAGGCGAACTTCTGCAATTCGATGGTCGACATGGACATCTACTGGCTGCAGATATGCGCCGCCCACCTGCCGCCGGACCAGTTCATGGACATGTGCATTGACATGTGAGTGCCTACACCACTGCGTGTTCAGTGACCGAATTTAAGCCTACAACCGATGGAAATATTTGCATAACTATCTACAAGTACTTTTACGGTTTAATTTCGTAATTTCGCGTTTGCTATCGCCATCGACATTTGGACGTTGTGCGGAATGGGAATAGCACGCTAACTGAGTTTTCCGCCGCATTTTCTCAGTGGGTCGTGTTTCCGATCCGGTGGTAGATTCTGTGAAGCACTGCTTTTGCTAGGGTCAGTGTTAGCCACTTCGCCAAGTATTAGCCCCTTGAGTTTAGCTAAGCGTCTGGTAACGCTGATATAGCCTCTCAAGGCTATCAGCATAGGTATGGGTAAAAGAAGCCCTCCGGCAGTCCGTCACCACGAGACATTAAAGTATTCGAAGAGTTGATCGATAGTAATGAGCGCCAGATTATACTGTGGAAGTCCATTAACGGTGCTTCAAGCACCGGTCACCGTCCTCGTCGAACCCGTCGCTTGCGACGAAAGTCTCGACGAGCGAATTAACCCTCAGACACAGCCCACTGAGTTTCTCGCCGGATCTTCTCAGTGGGTCGCGTTTCCGATCCGGCGGTAGATTCTGCGAAGCTCTGCTCTTGATAGGGTCAGTGTTAGCAACACTCCGGCTTGAACCCCGTGAGCTCACCTACACACATTAGGGTGAAGCTGAAATAGCCTCTCAAGGCTATCAGCATAAGTAGGGAAAAAAAACTGTGGAAGCGTTAACCGAAGAATGTGTTCTGAGTCTAGTCGCGCACGTATGAACATTCGGCTCCTCAGGTTCGGAGTCCGGGAGTGGTTGAGCATGCTGCCCATGTCGCCGGTGCAGGCGGCCGAGCAGGACGCCATGGTCGAGGGCCTGCTCACGTTCCTGGCGATACTGGTCTCCTCCAGGACCAACCTGGGTGAGTAGCTAACTGGCGCAGCTGTTAGCATCCGTGAGTTTGGCCCACATCAGGTTTACTTGCTCTGTGCCTGGGTACCTGATATATATTTATGTAGTATGTATTTAAACGTACTAGTGGCCCTGCAGTAGTCGAAATTCGACTATAATTAATTGAAATTATAAGTTTGAGCATTATTATGGTTCTATTGTCAAAGATTATTATATTTCTATAGTCACAGATTTAGTCAAGACTACACTATAGACAAATAATATTAAAGACAAACAATATTAATCTATTCTCATTCGACCACAGACTAAACAATAACAAAAGTTTCACAATTGACAGCAAACAAAGAGTATATTTTTATGTGTGTGTTGTGTCAAATACATGGTAGTGTGTGTGATGCTTTTTTTATTGATTCAATGTGTTTTTATGCATATTTGAAAACAATTATTAGCATTTTGCACTCCTTCACTGTATTCTCTATCAGTGTGAGAAATTTCATACTCCTCCGTTCGCGCAATATTCGTAAAAAGGGGTACAAAGTTTTTGCTTCACGTTTTAATATATAGATAAATATCATTTTCTGCTTTCCACAGTACAGAGGTGCCTAGCTTGGAGTCACAAGACCGAGTTTATTTTGTTGATATTTATTTAAAAATATTAATAATATTTAATAAAAATATATTGTCGAGGGTCTTCGTCGGTACAGTCGTCGATTCCCAATGACTTTGTCAAAAAATACATTTCTGAAGAGTGGTAATACAGTAAGGAGTACCGCCCACCGAGGCGCTCATATCGCTCGACCAGTTTACTTTTTTAAGGGATTTTATGACCTGGTAACTAAGACCTTTAAGTCATGTCTTATTTTAATTGATATTCTTATTTTTATGAGAAATGATAATATGGAGTGAAATGAAATGAAATGAAGATGGTTAATTTGAGACATTAATCAACCAGGATGAAATTAAATGAAACGAGATGAGATGAAATATAATCTCAGTAAAATTTGGCCATCTACTAAGATTTTTTGAGTGGACTTTTTGGAGGATCCCGAGAAGTTACGTCCAGCGGCTTTGTTTCATTTTCCCACATTTGTGCACTTTCAGAGATATTAAACCACCGTCATTATACATTTAAACCTGAAGAAACATTAAATAGACAAAATAAAACAAATCACACAACTTCACTCCTCGCGTTCCCGCCAAAAAGTCCGACCAGTTTACTCATTTTTATTTACACTGAAGTCCTCAAGTTGTCATGCGCGTCCCTCGTCCTGGTGGTGTTGCAGGCAACGACGAGCTCACGCAGTCCCGGCTGGAGGTGAGCACGCTGCTGGCCGCCGGCGACAAGACGCACTCGCAGCTGCTGGAGCTCATGCCCGAGCGCTCCGGGAACGCGCACACCAAGAACTTCGAGACCGTGCTCAAGGAGGTAGGTCTAACTACAGTACTAGCTTAACTTCTTCAGGGGCGGACTTTAATGTATCAAAAACATTAATTTAATACATTTTTTATTGCAATTTGTTCATTGTATATTGAATACAATTCAATAAATAATAAAAAAAAAATAAGAATAAAATTAAAAAGATGTTCACATATGGTACTTCCCGAAGAGGTTAAATAGTATCGGATAATTCAATTTTATACTTATTGCTATGACGATTGTCTGATGTTGAGATTAATGTGTTGAAAGTTTCATTTTATAATTAATACATTGACTGTGAAATTTTTACATTATAATTGAGCACAATATAACGACGGCGTCGGCTCGCAGCTGTCCACGTACCGGCCGCCGCCCCGGGGCTCCGAGAACCTGGAGCAGGGACTGTTCGTGCCGCGCCCCGTCGTGTGGGAGCAGTACTACGACCCGCTGCACGTGCTGCGCCGCGCCGTGCACCGCCGCGACTTCCACGCCTCCATGGAGCGCTACACGGCCTAGTGAGTAGTCGCGCCGCCGCACCCCCCGCACCCGCCGCCGCCAACTGAACGTCTCGTGTGCCTGCAGCGTCCGGGAGAAGAGGAAGGGAGCGGGCTCGGCGGCGCGCCTGGGCACGCTGTGGCCCCCCCTGCGCGCGCCGCCCGGCCCCGCGCCCCCCGGCGCCGGCGACCCGCGCGCCGTGTGCCGCAGCGGCGTGCTGCTGGGCGCGCTGCTGGCCGTTGCTGCACCGCGCCGTGCACCGCCGCGCCGCCGGACCACCGCCCCCGCACGCGCCGCCCGACCACCCGTGCTGGCGCTGGCGCTGCCACTGCTGGACGCGGGGCGGCTGGCCGCCCGGCGCCGGCCCGCCGGACCCGCGCAAGCCGCGGTGCTGCAGCGCGAGGAGGGCGCGGCGCGCTGCGTGTCGGGCGCGGCGCTGCTGCGGGCGCTGGGCGGCGCGTGCCCCACGCAGGCGGCGTGCACGCGCGTGCTGGCCGTGCCGCGCCCCGCGCCCCGCCCCGCGCCGCCCGCGCACTACGCGCCCGTCGACAGTGAGTCGCGCACAATTCTCTCCAAAGCAAACAACTTCATTGAGAAAAGTTGCAATTTCAATTTTAACTACAAATCAAATTAGTATTCTGCAATCAAAAAATTGTTACTCAAAAATAACCTTTGTTTGTCTCTTACTCAAAAATATTTGTTTCTGCGCAGTACGTAATTTACAGCCTGTTTAAAATTACTCAAAAATTTGTGAGCTATCTATTACTTACTAATAAGTATTGTCAATGAGGCTAACACCATATTAATCCAAATAATGGAATAAGCCGCTCGGTGCATTCGTATGTAGCAATGCGCCGGTGTTCGAATCCCGCAGGCGGGTACAATTTTTCTAATGAAATACGTACTCAACAAATGTTCACGATTGACTTCCACGGTGAAGGAATCACATCGTGTAATAAAAATCAAACAGGTAAAATTATAATTTGCATAATTACTCGTGGAAGGACGTCTTGTGAGTAAGGTATCCTGCACGGGTAGATACCATCACCCTGCCTATTTCTGCCGTGAAGCAGTAATGCGTTTTCGAAAATGGCGCAACCAGTTCAGCCATTAATCTAACCCGTAAACCACATGGGGTCAAAGCAGCAAGAACGTCCGCAGGCGACACGGAGTGGGAGTCCTCGGAGCTGGAGCCGGCGCTGCTGTCGCTGCCCACGGCCCCCAGCACGGCGCTGGCGGTGCCCTCGCCGCGACAGGTACGTCTGCACGCTACCCAGACACTCCTTTAGACAATAGATTGCAGTTGAAAACTTTTAAGTTTTGCTATATGTATTAATAAATAGCCCACTTAACTAATAAAAACTTAAAAATTCCTCAGAGCACTCTGTAGAACATACGGTGCAAAATACAGCTGAAGTTTCTGCGTCAAACGATCCGTGAGAACGGCTATCTATTGTATGGAACCCAGTAAAAGTAGCAGAACTACTCGCGAGCACGAGCTTTGTAAAGCACGTGACAATAGGGTCTAAGGGTTAATTATTTGAATGAATTAAATTCAATTCATTCCATTGTGGGGCTCGCACCGGAGATGTGTAGACACACATTTTTGGCAGCAATTGTAGACAACTCAGAGGGTCAGCGGTTTTGAACCACAACCCCTCAACATTTGGTGGGGAGTGTTAAAATCTCAAAGTACCATTAGTTCCTCAGATAGGTAATGCTGAAGCACTCGCTCAGTCTCTCAGCCCCTCGTGCTCCTAGATAGCTGCCTGAATTGTTTCCCTTTAACCGTTTCCGTCTTGAACAACTGCGAATTCGGTTGAATTCACTTACAAAACCCGTCCCCACATCTGCTTCAGGTGGCGCGCGGGGACTCCATGGCGGAGGACCGCTCCGACGACGCCGACGTCATGCCCTACGTGCGCGCACTCGAGGTACCAAACCCTGCCGCTTGTATACACTAGTACCAGCTGAGCTATGGCGTGACACCTCATTATTGTAACCGAAACAGTTGAATAAACTCACGGTCCACGGTGTTGAGTGGATACCGGAGCCCATAGAGATTAATAACATTCATGTGGTCACCGTACAGTGGCGCCACCCGTGCGGGCGCACACGCACACGCACGCACGGTATCATCAGAAATAATATTATAGATTAAAGGTTAAGTTATTTATAGTAAGAAAAGAAAATATTAAGTTTAAATTTACTTACAATTGATAAAAACATAAGTGGATTTGGTAATTTGAATAATAATATAGTATTTTGGTTTATAGTTACCCTATTTTTTAGAAAATAAAAGTTGTAGAAATAGATTTGAGATATCGCACGTTAGTTTAGAAAATAACTATATCCATAATTAATTATAGAAAGATTATAATATGAAAATTTTCATTAAAAAAAAATTGAATACAAGTATTACAATAAAAATAATTCTGACATAAAAGTTTATTTTGTATATATAATTTGGAAAAATATTTGCTACGTTGTTGAATTTGGTAACAAATTGTTGTAAATTGTTTTGAGTGCCGTACCCGTCCCAGCCGAGGGACGGAACGGAACTCTTCTAACGCTTGGTGGCGGTGTCCAGGGGATCATGGAGGACGAGAGCCGCGCCCTGGTGCTGCAGGACTCCGAGATGAGCCTCGCGCTGCCCGCCGGCCCCCCGCGCGCCCCCCCGCCGCACCGCATCGACTACGGTACGTGCTCATATAGCGGGCTTCGGTACTTACTCGCTAGGTATGGAGCTCCGATGATTCAGAGTTGGAAGTCCACCGCTCAGGTCAGAGGATAGGAGAAGACTGACTGTTCGCGGGACGGACGGAACAGGAGGACTCGGGAATGCTGATCGTGCAGCTTGGTTAGGGCTGTCAGCCAAATAGCCTTCATACTAGGGTTATAACAGTACGTATTAACGATCGACGGTGTGTAGTTCTATAACCCCAGCGCGGCAGCCCTGCGGACGAGACTAAGAGCCGCGCGTGTGTTCGCAGACACGGAGGGTCCGGAGTGGGACGACGCCCCCGCGCTGCCCGCCCCTCCACACTTCGACCTGCCGTCCACCAGCAACCACGACACGCAGGTACTGTGCATCGAACTGTCCAAGTAATTTGAACAAGTCTGGGTTCCTAGGGAATGCTTGGCATTTACTCTGTGTATACCACTATTCCTAATAATGTAGTGAATTACATGGCACAAAACCAGTCAAATTCAAAAAGTTTTATAAAATAACATCCCAACAGAATATATTGATTTCGAAAAAAAAAAGTCGTTTTCGTTGAATCGATTATTCTAGTACAACCCTATCTACAGTTTTCGGCTTGATCTTATAATGAATAATGAGCAATATGTCGTCAGATGGAGCTGCAGAACCAGACGGAGGAGGACTCGATACCCGTGAACGAGTCCATAATATCGTTGCTGCTGAAGTTGCACTCGCAGCTGTCCGGCCGCCTCGACTCCTTCAGCCCCGACGAGCCCGCGCCCGCCGCGCACGAGCCCGTCGGTACGGGCGCGCCCGCCACTCTGGTTATCCTCGTCTGCCACTTCATGGCTGAACACTGGACCGAAGCTCGCCGCTTTTTTTATATCCTAGTTTGGTGGACGAGCTCACAGCCCACCTGGTGTTAAGTGGTTACTGGAGCCCATAGACATCTACGACGTAAATGCGCCACCCACCTTGAGATATAAGTTCTAAGATCTCAAGTATACTTACAATGGCTGCCCTATCCTTGAAACGCATTACTGCTTCACGGCAGAAATAGGCGGGGTGGTGGTACCTACCCGCGCAAACTCAATAGTCATACCACCAGCTTGTTACTACAAGTGACCCATATCGTGTTACCGGTGGTTACCGCTCACGGCACAAGTAAACGTACCATAAGCGAGAAGTGGCCGAAGTAACGCAGCGTCCGTGGCCCGCAGGCGACGGCCCGTTCTGGATCGGGCGCGTGCTGCGGCGCATGTGCAGCCTGGACCCGCGCTGCCGCCAGCACGTGCAGCACGTGCGCGAGCAGCTGTGGCCGCAGCAGCGGGAGCGCCACGCCGAGCACCTGGCCAGGTCCACTACACTATCTCATCTCTTCATCACGTCATGACTCAAACATTATTGCAAATGAGCGATCCAATGGTCCTCATTTACAAACATTAGTGGAATGCGTTCTTTAATATCAGCCTTGTTAACTAAACCATACCTTAATTTAGTAAACAATATCTCAACCACATGTGCTTCTGGATAATTGCTTAAAATAATTGTGTTTTTGATCGCAATTTAAAAGAATTAACAAATGAATTGGGAAAATTATGCACAATTTTAAGACGATAGTGAGGACAGTAAAATTTGAGTGTTGTCATCTCCTTTTTTTTTAGTGTTTCTCTTCTTTCTTCTTTTTCTGTACCTTATCCCACTAGGTGGGGTCGGCACAGCTAATTTTTCTCTTCTATTCTCTTCTATCAGCTGTCATATCAACACTCTCTCCTCTCTCATATCGTCATTCACACACACCATTCATATCTACTTCGGTCGAACTCTTCCCGTCTACCTTGCACTACCATTTTCATACATCTCCTTTCTTTTAGTGTTTCTATTTTTAGGTAATTGATTTCCATTTTTTTAAAGAACTTTGCATATAACGATGTTTGCGTCGTGCAGGGAACGCGCAGAGAAGGAGGAGCGGTCCAGGCGAGCTCGCGAGCGGCAGGAGCAGGTAATGCGCGAGTTCGCCGCGCGACAGCAACGGTTCCTGTCCAGCATGCGCGACATGGACGACGAGGAGTGGGTCGAGGAGCCGCTGGAGCCCGACTACACCTGCGTCATCTGCAACACGTGCGCGCCCGCCTCCGCCGCCGACCCCGTGGGGCTGGTGGTGCTGGTGCAGGCCAGCAGCGTGCTGGCGCACCGCGCGCCCGCCGGCTGCGAGCCCGCGCGCCTGCCGCTCACCGAGCCCGACCGCGCCCGCCTGCGCGCGCACCGCGACCGCACCGCCGGCCAGCACCAGGCGCGCGTGCTGGACGAGCTGCGCCAGCACTTCGACGGCGCCGGCGTGGACTCGTGGGAGGGCGGCGTGCACGTGCAGTCCTGCCAGCACCACCTGCACCTGCGCTGTCTGCACGCCTACCTGCGCGCCCTGCACGCGCCGCGCCCGCACAACCTGCACGTGGAGCGCGGCGAGTTCCTGTGCCCGCTGTGCCGCCAGCTCGCCAACACCGTGCTGCCGCTGGCGCCGCGCCCCGCCCGCCCGCCGCGCCTGCCGCTGCCCGCCGCGCTGCCCGAGCCCGCGCCGCAGCCGGTGCGACACACGCCACTCGCACTCGACCACGCTGTACGACTCGATCTCTACCCTCGACTTACTATGTGCGCAGGCGCCCACGAAGCTCTCGGAAGCGATGGGGAAGGCCATGGAGGACATCACGGCGGCCGCGGGGGGCAAGCTGAAGCAGCGGTACGGGTCCTCGCCCGCCGACATCTTCGCCTTCGTCACGTCCCTGGTGCGGACCAACCTGGAGTGCGAGCTGGTGCAGCGAGGAGGGACCCTGCTCACCGCGAGCGCGCCCAGATATAAACCTAGAAATGAGTGTATAGGTGAGTGCGACAGACAACGGTCGAATTAGCAGCTACTTCCATTGGACTCCATCCGGAGGAGGGTCTGTTCTCTGAGTGCATCCCCGAGCGCACTCCCACGAAGTCCCCCAGCTGACGTTAATGAGCGACGGTAATCAACCGGTCCAAAGACATGCGCCGTGTGCTGGTCGGCCTACATAGCTAATAAATAAAAAAAAAGTCAATAATTGACAGATATAACTTTTTTTTTTTCGGGCTGGGGGTCAAACCTCCTACAAGGTCCCCGCGCCTAGAGGGGTATGTGGGACATTAAACAATATCGATATTTATTCATGATGTTTTATGCTCGGGATTTCATTCAACGAAGCGGTCTTCAGAACCATAACTAACTATGGACGTGTGAGTGCGTACTGCACTGCGTCTCACTGACATTTAACATGTAGTTGTATCGCGCCCGGCCCGAGGGCGCACCCGGGGCACGCAGCCGACGGACTGCGCCGTAGTGTCAAACTATAAATTGTAGCCCTTTATTGGAATTTTATTGAAAAACAGTTTATTATGATTGCAGTGCCGCTGATGGTGGTGGCGGGCTTCCACAGCCGCGTGCTGAGCGCGGCGGGCGCGGGGCTGGGCGTGGCGGACACGTGGCGCCTCGTGTCGCCGCCCCCCGCGGCCCCCGCGCCCGCCGGCCCCGCCCCCGCCCCCGCGCTGGCCCCCGCGCCGCCCAGCGACGCGCGCCCCGTGCCCATCCTGCTCAAGGACCCGCTGGACCTGCTCATACAGCTGCTGCTGGTGGCGCCGCCCGACCCGCCGCACGTCGACATACGTAAGCGCCGTCCGCACCTCACCGTCGAACCGGCCCTTACCTCCAGAAACGTGATGGAAACCAGCGATCGCGTCATTTCCGAATCGCCGGTGTTTTGAATGAAGGCATTTTTAAAGACTTACATTCCCTCTGAATATTTGAGACGCTATATCAGAGACACGTTAGAGAGTCTAAATTTATCAATATCGGACACGCTGAAATAGTTCCGTGTAGTGGTTATTGTTTAGATTTTTGAAATAGGAAACGTTATATAAATGTTTTTATCCTTTCCTCCCTATAAGTAAATCTCCATTTAACGTTACGACCCCGCTCCCCCCACTATAAATATTTATTTGCATAAGTACGTAACGTTGTCACTCGAGACGGGCTTGTGATGCGAGGCGACTCTTTGTGTTGCAGAGGACTTTAATCTGATCGTGCGGCAACTGTACACCCTCACGTACTATCAAATAGTATGTCAGTTTTGTGCGAACGCGACGCCAGAGGAGAGGGCGGCGCTGGCGGCGGGGGGAGGGGGCGACGATGACGTCAGGACCAACGCCAGGGTCGTGCTGGCCGCCCTCGCCGACTCCGAGCTGTTCACTGAGGACGGGCCACCCGCGCAGGAGCAACCCGCGCCCATGGACTTCGAGAAACTTGAAGAAGAGGTAAGCTCAGCCATGGAACCGGAGAAATGCACGAGCAGCTATTGTCTAAGTAGGCTCGCCAACTTCACGCGTATGCTTACAGATAGTGTTAAGGACGGGCGGCTGTTGTCGGTGTCCAGCTGCTCGTCAACACTAGTCCGTTTTCAGTTGAAGCGGTTGTCGCTGCCGTTCCTGCGCGTGTGCGCCCTGCTGCGGCACCACATGTACGGCGCCGCGCTGCCGGACGTGGCGGCGCCCGAGCAGGAGTACGCGCGGCTGGCGCAGTACCTGGACCTGGGCGCGGCGGGGCGGGGCGCGGCGGGGCGGGGCGCGGCGCGCGGCTGGGCGCGGCAGCTGGGCGCGGCGGCGCAGCGCTCGCAACTGGGCCTGCGGCGGCTGCTGCGCGCGCAGCACGTGGAGTGGGCGCCGCCCGCGCTGCTGGCGCTGCCGCACGAGTACGACCGGCTGTTCACGCACTACCACGAGCGCGTGTGCTCGCAGTGCGGCGCCGCGCCCAAGGAGGCGTCCGTGTGCCTGGCGTGCGGCACGCTGGTGTGCCTGAAGGCGGCGTGCTGCCGGCGGCACCAGGTGGCGGAGGCGGTGCGGCACGCGGCCCACTGCGGCGCCGGCACCGCCATCTTCCTGGTCGTCACCTCCACCTACATTATCGTCATCCGCGGCCGCCGCGCCTGCCTGTGGGGCAGCCTGTACCTGGACGACTACGACGAGGAGGACCGCGACCTCAAGTACGTGTCGACCGCCGCCCGGCGCGGCCTCCCTCGGCTCCCAGCCCCCCGCCCCCAAGGTTGATACGATTGTTTAATTTCCAGACGCGGCAAGCCCCTGTACCTCAGCCGGGACCGGCTCGAGCTGCTGCAGGCACAGTGGCTGGCGCACAGGTTCGACCACACGAAGCGGACCTGGGTCTGGCACCGGGACTCGCTCTAGGACGTCGCTCCCCGCGTGCTGCCCGCATAAACTGTTACTGCTAGCGTTAGAAGTATAACGTTGCCGCGCGGCCCCGCCCGACCGAGGCGCAGTCGGCGCGGCGTGTGTAACAACAATAATATTAAAGTCACATTATTATTAGAGATATTTACAACAAACCATATTTTGTATAAAAGAGACAAAATGCTATAGAGTATTTAGTTAAAGAGACAAAAAAATATTTATAATTAATTCGTGCCTTCTCATTGACAAATGTTTGACCGTACCGCGCTAGGGATCTGTTACTCATTGATAATATTATAAAGCTATTTTCATGCTGTTGTACTTACACATTGACAAGTTGTTAGAATGTATAACTACTAGTGGCGGGGCGCGGCGCGGTCCGCGGGCGCCCCCCACTTGTCTGTATGGCCTTAGTTTATCATCTCAAAGATGGATATTAATATATTCGTTCGAAAATGTTGTGCTATATACTATATACACTGTAGAACACTAAATCTGAAATCTGTAAGTTCCCAAAGTGCGCCACCGGGACAGCAGCAACACCGGTCGCTTGACTTTGTACATTTTGTTTGTAGTTTTTTGTAGAATTCACATCCTGTGTAGTTCCGCGCCGGGCTCGATGCTCGCACAATATATTATTTGAAGTTAGTTTCGGTGCTGATACCGACCGCAATGCAAATTTTTGGTCTCATTAAAATTTTCATTGAAATAACTATAAAGGGAGTTCCTCCACCGCTGGACGCGCGCCCCGCCCGCGGGGGGTTGGGGGAGGGGTCGCTACCGGAGCCCCGGGGCGGCGCCGGGCGGCGCCGGGCGGAGGACGACCACAATCCTTGTTACAATCTGCCCGCGCGACCTTTACTCACATTTTAATTTGCAAATCCCGTCCGTAGTGTGCGGGACGACTCGAGCGCAGCCTCTATGTGCTAAATTAGTTATTTGTAAATATTATATACAATTATATATAATTTTTGAGTGTGCTGGGAGTTGCAAGGGCTGTGAATATGTAAATTTATGTCTGTTGTCTTTTTTACTGTACTTAGCTGTAAATGTATTAAGTTATTTTCTCATAATGTTTTTTTCGTCTGCAATGCTTTCTATGTTTGACAAATAATTATCTGATTTATTTTGAGATTGGTTCGACTTTTAATTTATCTGTAGAAACGTTTTTTTTTCTTAATGAGAAATTTTGTTGTTCGGTTCTAGCTTATCGTTGGACAAATAAATGGATTCAAACATTGTTGATGTAAATGTGGCAACACTAAAAACCAGTGTTACCTGTATTTAAATTGCCTTATTCTAAAAGTTTAATCATCTTATTATTTCTAAAACATGGGATCGAAATAAAGACTTTTTTGTCGACACGCTTGAAATGTCAATAACAAAATAATCAATTAACTTGAAATCGTTCAAGAATGTTGTTATTTCCTTCCCGTGAACGCGCAACTACAAAGTTATGGTAGAACAATATGAACCGAGACCGAGCATTTTACAGGGAACAGTTCACCATTAAAATTTTATATAGAAACGAATAGATTCTGAATTAATCGAAGCAATTAAATATATTTTCTGAAATCTGTTAAAAGTATTGATTAAACACACTGAAAGATCGCAAGCAACGAGCTGTGTCGATACGGGCGGCCGCGTCACGCGACTGCTGTGTGCTTAGTGCGAGTTTTTAACGTTCTCGATAGCGTAAAAGTTAACTCAGATTTGCATGGAGTTGAAACAGCGCCTCTAGCGGCAAACGTAGGCAAACGTTCCAACTCCATAGATAAGTTTTACGCTATCGAGAACGTTAAAAAACTCGCACTAAGCACACTTTTCGTATAATTTAATATAGCGCTTGCAATCTGTCTGTGCGTTGACATTAGTGAAACGCAATCCTCGCTGCGCCGCGACATCGAACCGTCAATATTAATGTGTATATTGTTCTTGTATATACGTGAATAAAGTTGTTGATATTTTAAATCGTATTTCATTCGTTCAGTAGAACGAAGCGAGGCCTTGTTAAAATGACAAAATAAATGATTATGCTTTGTTTTTTAAAAATCCAAACAATGGTAAGACTGACGCCCTCTGAGCCTGTCACTGAGGATTGTTGTAAAACAGGTCGTCTGTGGAGGGGATTTAAACTATCTTTCTTATAATATATATATAAATCACGTGTCACGTTGTTTGTCCGCGATGAACTCCTAAACTACTTAACCGATTTTAAATTAAATTTGCACACCGTGTGCAGTTTGATCCGACTTGAAAGATAGGATAGCTTACATCTTAATTTATAGCCGCAATATTATTTTATTGCAAACTATTTGTCTATTATTTGACATTCACAATTATCTGTTAACTCCAAACGATTTTAACAGATGGCGATATCTGTTGATTGGATTGAGTAAGTAATCAATAGATGGCGCTGTTATGTTAAACCTACAAATGTGTCATATACGCTACATTTTAATGACTTAAACACCACGTGTTGCTGAGGCTAAAGTATAACTGAAATTTATTTCGTAGTAAACGTGAAATACAGTGAAATCCAATTGTTCTTAGATACTTTGTTAAGTTTTGGTATTTGCATAGCCGGCCACGTGTTATTTAGAAACAAAACCTTAGCCACAGCAACGTGTGGCCGTCTGCTAGTATAGTTATATAGTTTACTGGTGGTAGGACCTCTTGTGAGTCCGCACGAGTAGGTACCACCACCCCGCCTATTTCTGCCGTAAAACAGTAATGCGTTTCGATTTGAAGGGTGGGGCAGGCGCTGTAACTATACCTACTGAGACCTTAGAACTTATATCTCTAAGGTGGGTAGCGCATTTACGTTGTCTATGGGCTTCAGTGACTACATAACACCAGGTGGGCTGTGAGCTTGTTCACCCATCTAAGCAATAAATAAATAAATCTAAGGAATCTCAGTTAGGTTCTTTAACCGCATGTCTTAAGGTGAGGACGACAGTCGCGCCGCGGGCTCTGGACTCCGTTGCAACAGCAATTAGAACTTTCATCGCAGCTGAGACCGCGTGACACGTTCAAGTTCCCATTAAAGTTAAAGCTTTTAAGACGTAATGGATGAACAAATAAAGGTTACTGCATACTAGCTAGAAGCCCTAGTAGGCAGACGAGCATACGGCCCACATGATGGTGAGTGCTGACCGACGCCCTGGACTTCAGCAATGCCAGGCGCAGACCCAAGCCCCTGCCTACCTTCCCTGTGTAAACCACACTGGTAATTTGTTTCATGAGGCTATTGACACTTAGCTGCTTTAATTCTTTTCCCTCATCTATCGAATTCAACGCTCAATTCATTCATCAAGAGATTAAGAGTACAATATGATTAGGTGATTAGACTTGTAACACAATATTAAGTTATTCACAATTTTATTGCGACCCGTGAGTTGGTGTTCACTGCATCATAGCGATTTTAGTGACCCACGTTTAGCATTACCTCCATTATAACTTCTTTGGTCCCCGCTTGTATATAAACGCGTGCTACTGTTGTACCCGGTCTGCCCTAAGCACGTCATTACGGACCTCCCGATCCATTAACGGTGCTTTTAGGTACCTTAAGCACCGGTCACCGTCCTCGTCGAACCCGTCGCTTGCGACAAAGGGCTCGAAGAGTGAATTAAGCCATAGGCACAGCCCACTGAGTTTCTCGCCGGATCTTCTCAGTGGATCGCGCTTCCGATTCGGTGGTAGATTCTGTGAAGCTCTGCTCTTACTAGGGCCAGTGTTAGCAACACTTCGGTTTGAGCCCCGTGAGCTCAACTACACGTCAAGGAGAAGCTGATATAGCCTTTCAAGGTTATCAGCTTTGTTTGAAAAAAAAACTTGCCGGTCATTCTGCAGCCGCGCTAACTAGTTGCAGAGAAGGTTGAGTAAACACTTAAATAATTAGCTGTATCTGAATATCAGTGAGTCAAGTTAATTATTAGTGCCCGATTTATTATATAGGGTTCCAATAGTCCCGTCAATCGTAACTTCGTTTCTTATTATTGGAATACGCTCCGTGGATCTTCCAGTTACGTCCCGGAATCAGACTCTGTACCTATTACTTGTCAACTTATGCCGAGGAGCTGGAGTATCCTCGTTAGATACTGGACCTGGTGCTTCAGAATCACCATTGTTTATAGATACGTATTTAATCATTACATTTCACCATTACCATCATATCTCTACCCTCCATAATTTATGATTGTAATCTCCTTTTTTGTTTAATGTAATGTCTAGTTAATGTATGTAGGCGTTAATTTCTTTTTTTTTTGTATGTGTATGCACTTTGGTTAACTATATGCTTGTCTAACTGCCCTTCAGTTTTTATTGTCTTAGGGCGCCCTGGGAGACCCTTTAATAGAATCTCATATTCACAACTGTAGCTACCAGTTGGTTTAACGCTTACCGTTAAGAGATTAATGGGAAAATTTCGATTAGATCCACGACACTAAGATCTCGGACCATCATCTGTCTCAAGTACCGCTTTATTCCCGACGTGTAACAGGTAGGCAGGTAGGAAAATAAAACAAAAGTTTTGTTAAAAGTTTATATTGTACATCAACTATTACATATATTCGTAGAGGTAGAACATCCTACTCTTAAATTAAACGCCTAATATTACAATAATTAATATAAAATATTTGATTTCCATTGCGCCGCGTTTAATATCATCGTTAGGCGGAATCGTGAAACCGAACGGAAAATAAACATAAACATTACAGATCACCCACAAATAATTTACAATCGTTTTGAATTCTCGACTTTAAAAAACATTAATCCATTCCAAAATATACACGTAACTTTAAAAAACGACGCTGAAAATATACTAACCGGTATTTAGAAGATTAATCACAATCTTATATTTTCTAAATACAAACGTATACATTCCACGCTTTAAAACATAAATTACAAAGATTTTTCCGAAAAAAACTTTTTTTTATCACAGAATATAAAATAAATACTAAGAAAATTATGTTCAAAAAAGTGGCAACACATTGCGTTTCACAGATTAAATATGTTTTTAGTAAATGAATTCAATGTTCTTATTATTATTTTTAAAAGCAAATCGGAACATTTTTCGAAAACATTTCGCTATTTATGTATTTTTGTATAAAATAAATAAAATTTTCCAAAAAAAGGTAATTAAATTTTACAAATTTTAACTATCTTTTATTTAAACAAGGAATGTTGATTTATTACCAATAATAATTAATCAAGCCCGTCGACTTCATACAATTTAACACGTCAATCGCAGACATAATGTTTACATTACATAAAAAAAAATCACAAATTTCTAATGCAGCCAAATCATATGAATAATAAAGTGTGAGTAAAATTTATTAAACGTTCTTCCTAAACAAGAATCCCAATTATGTATAATTTCACCATGAAATATGATTTTAAATAATACCACCTTATTATTATGTACACGAGCTTAAAAATTACATTATCTTTGTAATTTACAACATATAAAAATCTTTATTTTGAACACATTTTCAATAAGATATGGGACATTTTTACACCTAATGGTTCGCATTAGAACCGCCTTCAATTTTTATGGCACAAAAAAAAACAGAAAAAAAATTAGTAATACATCAATATCATAATATATAGTTGCACCTTAAATAACTTTAGCTTAGAAACGTATCTTGAATTATTGAAACTAATCATTAATAGGCCGATAGCGCGACATCTAAAAGCAAATTACGTATTTTAATAAAGTGCGTTTAACATTTATTATTATTATTATTTTTTTATTAATTTTTAAATTATAAATTCGTTACAACTAATTCATATTTCTTTTTAAATTAAAAAGAATAAACTAAAATATAATTAAGTTTCATGCACAAATTAATCATTATTATAGCACACTATCATAATTATATGCATTTATAATTTCTTTTATATTTGTATAATATATTCTTTCATAATATAATAATATACTGGTCGTTCTGAGATCTGTCGTCACCAACCTGGCTCCGAATACTGTATTTGCGTTCAATACAGTCTTATTGCTTTCCCAATATTTAACGTGCTATTTTAATTGAATATGCAATTTCGAAAAGGGCACATGTCGCATATTTTGTCAAATACGTTTTTTCATATACATGTAGTTTTGAGGCTTACCTACACCCACTTTATAATAATTCCAGTAATTTTCAATTGCTAATTAACACTAAAATATATCTCAAAAGTTAATATTTAAATTTTTACACTGCTTTAGAAAATAATCAGTTTTTTTCATTTCCTGAACATTTTACATTTTCAGAGATATGCCCTTTTCGAAATAGCATATTCAATTGCTTTAAATGCATATATCAAGGCGAGATCGGGGACACGGCGCTCCTTGCGGTTAAGGACTCTATTTAAGCCTAGCCTAGGTAAGGGGGATGCAGTGCGTAAGGGCAACGGTACTGATGTAGTCACGACTCGGATATCTGGAATTCTTTAAGAGAGGACTGTCCAAACGGCCGTCTGGTGTAGTGGTAAGTGACATGGTCACTACACAAGGGGGTCGCGGGTTCGAATCCCGCCAAGGGAAGATATTTGTATGGTAAATATAAATGTCTTTTCCAGGGTTATGGATGTATATTAAATATATGTATGGGTATAATAAAAAATCTTACATTTATTTCCGTTATCTGGTACCTGTAACACAAGTTATATACGAGCTTATCAAAAAAAAAAAAAAGAAAATATGTCACAGGAATGTTACAAGAANGGGTCGCGGGTTCGAATCCCGCCAAGGGAAGATATTTGTATGGTAAATATAAATGTCTTTTCCAGGGTTATGGATGTATATTAAATATATGTATGGGTATAATAAAAAATCTTACATTTATTTCCGTTATCTGGTACCTGTAACACAAGTTATATACGAGCTTATCAAAAAAAAAAAAAAGAAAATATGTCACAGGAATGTTACAAGAATAAGTTTTACTGATTAAAACATGCGTCGCGGGCCGTTTTCTGGACAACCTAGATTCAAGACATTCCCTTAAATACATGAAAATCGTTTGAAAGATGTGTGTATTGGACTGGTATTTAAGGCATATCCAAGGGATATTTGTGGCATACTCTAGGTGCCCTTCCATTTACCTACGTGCTATTTACAGCGAGTGAGTACAGTGTATAAAGTTACCCGGTAATATTCTATTCTTTTTCCGAATTTCTTGCAAGTCGCTGTGTCAAAGTAATTGACACAGCGCTATCGCAAAGTAATTGTACTAAAGCGATGCGGCGATATACCTTGTACCTGAAGTTTTGGCGAACGCGAGCGGTGCTAGCTCTAACATCATCATAAGCCAATTTTAGTCGAAACACAAATATTAGCTAGTGCGTTACTAAATTTAAAAAAAATCATTTTTTTCTCCGTTTATAAATACGTAATAACCCACTTTTACGTTCTATGTATTATATAATTTCATGTGAAACGTTAACAATGACCGAGACTCGTATTTTGTAACTCTCTAAGGATATAACTGTTATTGACGGTACTTGAAAAATAAAATAAAAGCATCCCCAATAAAGGAATAAAATAGCACGATAAACTGTAACGGCCTACGCTTGCGAGGAGCCGCCCGGGGGCCACAAACGCCCCTATGCTCCATTTGTATAATATTGCATATAGCAACCTTCGATATTGTAACTAAGACTGCTTTAAAAACATGTTCCTCTTTTAGCAACGGATGTCCTAAATTTATATAATAATAATACAGTCATATTATTACATAAGTACGTAGAGTCAGCCGCAAGATTAAAATATCTGATCGCGTGGAGAATTAAAAGTTATTAAGCAATAAATAAGGAGCGAAGGGAGTCTCACATCGTGTGGTCATACACCGAACTATGTTTCAATTGAACCCCAATTAAAACTTGAAAAATTTGATTTTCAAATATCAAACAAACTTTTGTAAGTTGCACACCGGACAACAAAAAAGATCATCAGAATAAATTAACGGTTTCAAAAATATATTTTTTTAGGATTGAAAGATTACTTGTGGCCTGGAGGCCTTGCTAGTTTCTCCAGGATAGGTGGGCAAGCAAGGGCTCAGTCAGGAGGGGTGGGATTTGCTAACGGCTACCCGAGCGCTTCCAAAGGAGACCTAACAACTCAAGAGCAGCTGCTTCGCGAATGAATCTACTACCGGATAGGAATCGCGACCCGCTGAGAAGGTCTGGCGAGAAACTCAGTAAGCTGATGTATGGGACGTTTCAAATTGTCAAACACCCAAAGATTTAGGACGTATATAATTGCCAAGTAATGAATTTCGCACGTATCGCTGGATTCGTTCCTATTAATGACTGTGTATAAATCGCGAGAAAGAACAAACACTGCGAGACTCCCCTCCGTCCTTCGAAGGACGAAAAACATATCTTTGAAACAATTTCAGTTCTTATCCCAAATGAAATGATTGTCAGCTAACGATTCTCGTCACCACCTCGCCGCTGTAATATAGGTAAACTATAGCTAATTACGTGTATAATAATCTATCGTTGGCAGATATGTTATTGGATCATTGTTACGTAACGCGATCGTTAAATACCTTGTGTGAGGTTCATTGAACACGTCCGGAGTTAAGTTTAAGAACTTTACTTTCAATACCATTTCTTTGTATATTTAAAAAAAAGTTAAGATCGTGTTATTGCATAGCGACAAAATAGCTTCTTAAAATTTAATTATAGTTATAATTATCGAATTACGAAACAGATAATGCACAATTCATTTTTAATTACTGTAGTAATAAATAATTTGGATACAAGGTTTTTTTTTTAATTGAAGACATGAGTGGATAAGGGGCATATGATACAATTTGTTGCTTTTGAAAAAACGCGAAACAAACTTTTGTTACTTGCACTTTTTCATTTTACATAACTCCTTCATGACATGTACTTATAAAAATAGCCTTTAAGCCCGGAGTTTTAAGGTCTAATATGATTTATACGCACATTCATTCAATGTAAATAAAAACTCAAAAACCTTAAAAATGATACTTAACCCCTTCATCCTCACATGTCTTCAATTATGTCCAAGTTCGTTTACAATTCATCGCTCATTATATATAAATAAATGTAAACAAATCATGGAAATGTGATATTTATGTGGCTATGCAATAATAACGGTACGTAAAGACATCAAAATCCCGCGACAACAACATTACGTTGAACGAACACATCTGCCTAGCGCGACCCTCGATATAATCTTATCTACATCTCCTCCTCACAGATGGACGACTCTATTCACGTAAACTAATACATACAATCTTCTATTGAGGAGTGTGAGTGACAGACTAATTTTATTTATATGTATAGACTAGCTGAGTCCCGCGATATAACCCGCAGTTATTGTCGTACCGCGGGTGATGCCGCGAGGCGAAGCTAGTCTAAAACAAGTAGCCTAAGTTACTCTAGTCCCGTCAAAATCGGTCCAGCCGTTCCAGAGATTAGCCGGAACAAACCGACAGACAGACAGACAGACAAAAATTGGAAAAAATGTTATTTTGGTGTATGTACCGTATATATATATTCATATGCGTGTAGTAAAAAGCGGCTATTTCAATATTACAAACAGACACTCCAATTTTATTTACATGTATAGACTAGCTGAGTCCCGCGATGTTAGCCGCGGTTATTTTCGTACCGCGAATGACGCCGCGGGGGGAAGCTATTCTAAAAAAAGTTGCCTAAGTTACTCCTTTTATCATCAGCTACCTATCAGCGAAAATCCCATCAGAATCGGTCCAGCCGTTCCAGAGATTAGCCGGAATAAACAGACAGACAGACAAAATAAATAAATAAATGTTATTTTGGTAATATGTAGTAAATTTGCAACGACGATATAGTAGTTTACATGAATAGACCTCCATCGCACAATTCAAATACCAACGTTCTTTGAAATATCTCCAACATCGACACTATAATAAGATAAATCGATAAGACATAATCGATTATTTCTGTATATATATATGTATGTATATATATTTATTTTCAGTACAAATCTTTCTTTAATTATTATTATTATAAAACAAAACAATACGATTATGTACGTTTGTACTTAACGAATACATGATACGACACGGGATACTGAGTGCGGACGTGGCGGCGGCTGCGCGCGGGCACGTCAATCTGTACCCACAACGTCTGTACTATACTGGACTATCCTTCGAATGTGGGTAGAAGCATTTAATCCAATGCACTAGCGGCTTATGAAGGGCGAGCGCACTCAGTACTGCGGGGGGACGGGGGGACAGGTGCAGCGTTATAACGCATCGGGCTCGTAGTACTGCGCGGGGACGGGGGGACAGGTGCAGCGTTATAACGCATCGGGCTCGTAGTACTGCGGGGGGACGGGGGGACAGGTGCAGCGTTATAACGCATCGGGCTCGTAGTACTGCGGGGNCTTAACGAATACATGATACGACACGGGATACTGAGTGCGGACGTGGCGGCGGCTGCGCGCGGGCACGTCAATCTGTACCCACAACGTCTGTACTATACTGGACTATCCTTCGAATGTGGGTAGAAGCATTTAATCCAATGCACTAGCGGCTTATGAAGGGCGAGCGCACTCAGTACTGCGGGGGGACGGGGGGACAGGTGCAGCGTTATAACGCATCGGGCTCGTAGTACTGCGGGGGGACGGGGGGACAGGTGCAGCGTTATAACGCATCGGGCTCGTAGTACTGCGGGGGGACGGGGGGACAGGTGCAGCGTTATAACGCATCGGGCTCGTAGTACTGCGGGTCGGACGGACAGTCGCAGTCGTCGGGCCGCGGCGGGTTGTGTCCGAAGTTTCCGTAGTCGTCCGTGAGCGAGCTGTGGCGGGCGACCACGCACACGTGCCGCCGGCCGGGCTCGCACAGCCAACGTTCTGTTACACATGACACGGACATCAACACGGGCCCGGGCCCCGGGGCGGCGGCGCGGCTCGGGGCGACATGACCAACACTAATACTTAAGTCTTCCTACTGTATTATAGGAAAAATTTCATTCACTTCACAAACCTTTTACCTTTACTGGTAGTGTTTTTTCTAGGCAGCTATTTACTTTTAAACTTCTTTTCATATATTGAAGGTGGTGCGTCTGATAAGCCCGCACGGGTAGGTCTCACTGCCTATTTTTGCAGCGAAGCAGTAACGCGTTTCGGTTTGATGGGTGGTCGTTTTTCTATAGAATTGAGACTCACAAGGAATGTGGATGATGGCATTTACGTTGTTGATGTCTATGGGCTGCAGTGACCACTTAACATCAGGTGGGCCGCGAGCTCGGGCACCGATCTAAACAATAAAATATATATACAAAACTGAATTGGTTCGTTCGAAATTCATACAATCTGTTGTTAAATAATCGTGTTATACTTACCTCTGGTAATGTCAACGTCGGTCATTAGTTCCTCATTCATCAGAGCCGATAACGCATCGTCCGTGTGTTTAGAATCTGTAATACAAAAGCTAATCAACAAGCTATATTTTTATATCAAATATCATGCAATTTGTAAAGCACATACAAGGAAAGACAACAGGGGCAAAGTAAACCTTTTTTCCCATTGATTATGGGAGGGGTATTTATGCATAAACCGAAAAATAATATCAAAACAAAATGTATAGTTATATTGTTGCAAAGGATTCTCTCCAATGCGATCATAATACAAGAACTTAACAAGAAAATAATAATCTTTTCATATTCACATTTTCTTTGTGAAGTTTTACCACAATTTATGTCTTGACATTAGGTATGTTCATCAAATAATCCTGTAAGTAAAAATTTTGAGGGCAGCACAATCGATGGTGTCTGGTGAAACCACCACTCAGTCCACAATCCAAATAAAGTTAGGGTTAATTAGTGGAACAGAAATCTATTCCAGCAATGAATTAGGTTGTGGAGAGTATGGTCATTTTAATATGAATGAATTTAATTTAAAACATGTATAAGAACTCAAAATGGTCAAAGTTCTCTGATTACTGTTTTTGCTACTTTTAGCAACAACGTAACATTACCAAACCGTATTTATTGATACATACCAGACTGCTCATTGGTGACGGGTTCCTCCTTGACTGGCAGGACGTGTGGCGAAGTGGGAGTGGTGGGGGTGGTGGGAGTCGGCGGAGGCGTGGGCGTGGCAGCGGGGGGCCCGGCTTCTCCGCTGCTGTTCGAGCTGCACTCTGGACTGTACGGTGCCATCTAGGGTAAACCATAGTTTTTCAATTACAAACACATTTTTTCTGTTGACTTGCTCAGGCTTTACCTGGTGGTAAGTGATTGCCAGGGTTCATAGAAGATCAACAATAGTAGGGGCATAGTCAAGATGAATTTTGTTGCTCCATTTGATAGACTTACAGACTATCTTGCACTATACTTTGGTACACTTAGACACAGAGGACAGCTTAAGGCATTTATTGACATGATCATATGACATGACATGGCAGTCCTCTACCATATAAAATTAGAACACATATTTTCATACAGGATCAATGCGCAGTTTATCATCTGGCTCTTCCTTGTTATTGCTGTGTATAACTATGTTTTTCAGTGTAGGTCAAAATCTATACTTTTGGTTATGTACTATCTAATTTTATTTATTTCAAGGATATTTTCTAAGCAATCAGCAATCATTAGAGTGCTCTTATCTTTTGGTACATCTATTCTTAAAAACACACATATGTGAATCACCATGTGTTTTTCACAATTACTTTCACACAATATTTATTTGAAAATTAATAAATCAATTTTACCCCCTCAAATACTATAAGATCCAAGGATTCTTTCTTGTTTTGGGTACTGGAAAGACAAGAGAGACTAGAAAAAAGCCAGTTCATATATCCCACGTGGAGGTGGGATATATGAACAACTAAACCCTATTATAACCACAACTAAAACCAAACCCTATTATAATCAGAATCATGAACTAATCAACTAATAAGGCAATAGCATTTAAATAAAAAACTTCACTCAGATTACATAATTAAACAAAAAATAATTTTATCACAATTTTTACCCTTAAACTCCTACGTCTTCTAGGAGTGACCTCTGCCATTTTGTAACTAGTATCCATCGCCCAATATGAACCCTTCCCTGGATCATCTTTACTCCGAGCAACTTTCATAAAACATTTGTTTAATGACAGGTTGTGTCTTATAGAGTTCTGAAAATGAATACACCATATTATAAAGCATTTGTAATCTTTTCAGGAAAGCTTATTTGTAATCACAATTACCATATACATTCAATACATATAATCAATTTTTTTACATTTATTCCTGATATTTAAATCATTTCTCAATGTGTACTTATGTGTTATATAAAGTATTGGAACATAGGAAGTTGTAAATTATCTATCAAATATCAGAAAAGCTTAGAAAATACTTTATTTTACTACTTTTATTCTGTTTACTGCTTTATTTAGGCTGTAGCCTAGTTTGAGTTTGTGAGAACTTTCATATTAAAAACAATCGGACTTACCATCCAACCCTTCCCAGCCTCTTTATAATATGGGAATGCATTACATATATAAGTGTATATCTCATTCAGAGTCATCTTGCCATTCGGAGAGCTGCTGATTGCAAGCCTTATCATGCTTGCATAGCTGTGGAGAGTTAGTTTTATTAAATAATATTTATTATGTTATCTTTAGGACATTAGTGTGTTATAATATGTAAACAAAAAACTTTGAATCTATTCTAAATGGGATGTAGTCTGTTCTGAGGTCTAAGCTCCTACTTTTTTTTTATTGCTTAGATGGGTGGATGAGCTCACAGTCCACCTGGTGTTAAGTGGTTACTGGAGCCCATGGACATCTACAACGTAAATGCGCCACCCACCTTGAGATATAAGTTCTAAGATTTCAGTATAGTTGCAACGGCTGCCCTACCCTTCAAACCGAAATGCATTACTGCTTCACGGCAGAAATAGGCTAGGCGGTGGTACCCACCCGTGCAGACTCACAAGAGATCCTACCACCAGCAAAACCACCAGCTCCAAGAAATTCAGATGAATATACTTAAATTTGGTTTTAATTGAATCTTTTGTGTACCTTCAATTAGTAATATCAGAAACGTAATAGAGTGAATTTGCAGAACACAATATGTATGCTGCTTGTATACCTTTGATAAACAATTAGACAATTCTTAGTATTCTTAAATGTGACCACTTACCTATAAATATTAATATTTTTAAATTTCCTCTCAGAATTAAATAATGTTCATTTAATTCTCTATAGCATGACAATTTATTTGTATAGTTTAGTATCTCTAAGAAGTACAATCTAATATGGTCGTCAGATTTGAAATAAGGTAAGGAAAATGTGTCCATGGTTTTATTGCAAGATTGATTTAGTTGGAATTAATGTTTGTAAATGTACACAAAAAAATTTAACTTTTGTTCTAGGCTAGTGTTGTTCAGAGCACCAATGACGAGGCAGCCAACAGAAGGGCCATCGAAATCAAGGCAGTTCCAAGGATATGGGGCCTGAGCTGCCAACCTGAGCGAAGACTTGTTCAGACTGGTATATTTTTTATTCAACTATACTATATTAGATAAAATAAGTTATTATTGTATATCATAGCTACACATTTTGGTAAGTAAAAATAAACAAAATGGCTAAAACGTGACTAATTAGCTAATGAACATTGTTTTAAGACTTTTAGGTACTATGGCTTTGGGTTATAGTTCTCTTACAGATAAAAAAAACAGTATGAGGCCTTGCCACAAAAATAAAATCTTTTGTTTATTCTTATTAAGATTTATTTTTGCACGAAAGGCTTAGTCAACGAAAATAATATATTTAGTAAAAAAAAACAATAGAATACAGTTACGGAGGACAGTGGATTAAACTCAAGCAACACGAATTGATATAAATTTGCTACCTGTAGGCTGGTTTCGCATGTTTAATTTTGTTAGTGTTCTCCTTCTGTTCGTCCTTGTTGTTGTTTTCCTGTTGCAAAGCGAGTGGCTGCACATCCTCGTAAAGGAAGCGCGGTATCGGTCCGAGGGGGCTGTGGCGAGGAGTTCCAGGACTGTACGCGGGCAGCCACTCCACTCCCGGCGACTCGCTCATTGTCCCATAAATATAACTACTCTTACACCTCACATTCGATTAATTATCACGTCTATCGGCTCACAAAGCCCTCAGGATCGTATCCTCGTTGCTTTTCACGGAGACTTTTATTGTAGTACATGAAGAGTCCTTGAAATTACGACCTATCTAAATTTACTAACACATCACTCTTGTACGACCAATATATTAAACAAAATAAAATTAAGAAGTAAATAGGAACATTTACTAATTATATAATATAAAATAATAAAAATACACAAAGAAAATTAACAATTATAGTGATAATCAAAATTATTATGACATTTGAAGCACCTACAACAAGGAAAATGGCGGTGATCTAAACCGCTCCGATTTACGTTCGAAAAACTTGTATAGTCATCTCAGTTTAAAAACTAATTTTAATACCATTTTTTTAAATAATTTTCAGAAGCAATAACTGCGACCTACGAATTATTGAAATAATAGTTATCTTATTCAATTAGTAAACTAGTTCCTGATATGTATTTATGGGTTTGGATGAAAACAATTGATAAACGGTAAAAAAATTAGGACTTAATTCTCCCTAAGATTTCTGTTGTAGGTTTCAGTTAAATTGACGATATCGAAGACGAAAACATTTTTAAAAGTGTCACTATCAGTGTAACGTTGCTTTACTTCTATTGCATACAATTTACAACGTGTAAAAAACTATAAGTGGTTGGGGAAATTTTAGAAACTAATATAGCAACATTTTCGATATTTATCAATTGTCAGGTCTTTTTGGCGGGAACGCGAGGAATGAAGTTGTGTGATTTGTTTTATTTTGTCTATTTAGTGTTTCTTCGGGTTTAAATGTGTAATAATGGTGGTTTATTAACTGTATAATATCTGTGAAAGTGCACAAATGTGGGAAAATGAAACAAAGCCGCTGGACGTAACTTCTCGGGATCCTCCAAAAAGTCCACTGAAAAAATCTTAGTAAATGACCATTTTACTGAGATTATATTTCATCCCATATCATCTCAATTCATTTCATTTAATTTCATCCCAGTTGATTAGTGTCTCAAATTAATCATCTTCATTTCATTTCACCCCCTAAAATATCATATTTCATAAAAATAGGAATAATATAAATTAAAATAAGACATGACTTAAAGAACTCAGTTACCAGGTCATAAAATTTCTTAAAAAAAATTGTCAATTGTCAGTTTCAGATTTGAATTTTTTAACGTCAGTTGAAATGAAATGTTCGGAGTGGCATGTCGTTTTATTTGTGATTTTAATTTTAACGGATTGTTGACATTCTTGACAGTACATTGTAATCGCATAAATTATAATTTACAAACTGTGTGTGAACAATTCCTACCTACCTATTATTGAAATTGTTCTTTGTATATTGTGACAATGGCGACACAACCAGAAGTCGGCGTGTCCGACTTTGTGCTCTTGGACAACTTGACTACAGAGACATTTATTGAAAATTTGCATTTGAGGTGAGTCTTTACCCTTTCGTATCGAAACTAAATTAATGAAAGAAGTCCTTAAAAATTACAATGTTATGTATGAGAGCAAGTTGTTCTATACAGTTACAGTGAAAAGTTTGTTAACTTTTATTGCATTTGGTTCATATTTCTTCAGTTTAAATGTTTTTTTTTTTTAATAATATATTTTAATTTTACTTCGGAACTGCGAAATTTTACTTCTCTATATTACTTCGAAAGTGTAATAAAATGTATGAAATTGTTTTACACGCTTTTTTAAATGCTAATTCATTTAAATTAAATAAAGCTCTATTTAAAGTTTTAAATATAAAATAAAATAAATGTAGTGTTTAATTCATCTAAAATTTGTAAATTGATTTTAAAAAAGTTAGTTGGTAATGCCAAAATCTGCAGCTGTGAAACATGGAACAGGACATAAATTTCATATTGTACAAAACATTTTTATTTTGGTCCCAAATGTAAGAGGATGATGTTATTTAAATACCAAATAAAAATAAAAATAAACTTTGTTAATCCCAAGAAGGCCTTTCGGATGCAATAATTTTAATCTTTGCACAGCAAATTTAATATTATTAGATAGGTTCATGTGGATTAAAATTACTATTTTAAATGATTAATCAAAGATAGGTTTATAACAAAATTGTCCTATACTTAAGCACCTGTTTAGATAAAATGTTGTAAAAATATAATGTTATTGTAATGTTGTAGAGATATCAAAACAATAATTTATATTTTCTAATAGGAAAAGAATTATAATGAGCCTATTCTTTAAAATTTTAGGTAAAGTTGAAAAAAAAAATGTTTGTGTAAAATAATATTTAATGGATTTAGTTTTCCTGGTAGTATGTTTACTAAATTGATGTACATATGTATCATAAAGTACTATATTTCCACTGAAATATCCCTATATTATATTAAGAACCTTGTCTTGTCAAGTATATACATCTACAAATGAACTAACAAATGTATAATTTTATTGCACTAGTAGGTTTTTTTTTTATTGCTTAGATGGGTGGACGAGCTCACAGCCCACCTGATGTTAAGTGGTCACTGGAGCCCATAGACATCTACAACATAAATGCGCCACCCACCTTGAGATATAAGTTGTAAGGTCTCAGTATAGCTACAACGGCTGCCCCACCCTTCAAACCGAAACGCATTACTGCTTCTCGGCAGAAATAGGCAGGGCGGTGGTACCTACCCGCGCGGATTCACAACAAGTCCTACCACCAGCTCTCATTAAATTGGGTTAGGTATAGAAAGGAACATAGAAAATGGAGATAAAGATAATGCACATTGATATGGGGCCTGTTAAACTTACACCAGGGTGACAGGTTTGCTGGCATTCTTCATATAAATTCCTCTTTCTGCAACATTATGAACCTCATATGCACGGTGAATCCAGGATTACTAAAAAGTTTCTCTCATAATAGCAATATACACATAATCAACATTGAAGTGTTATAACGGTGCAGTGATCCTGATCGTCCATTTGAGTCACTTGCTCATCTATTACCAATACAACAGTAAACAATTCAAATAAAATAACATGTTTCTTGGCATCATTCTGAGTCATAATAAATAGCTTAGAAACTTTAAACATTTTATAGTTCGAGGATCCTAAAGGTCTTTTTCGAAAAGAAAAAAATCAAATCTAGTGTTGCAAGAATATGTAAGTAAATACACTATTAATATCAGAGACAAATCTGTGGATTTGCTTCTGAAGTGTTAATTTTTTCTTTGCAAACCAAAAAGTGCCGTCTCATTCTCACAATGCATCTGGAGTAGATTCCCTCTCTGATGACGGTTCGGAGCGATAGGAAGGGCCCAGGCCATGTGCGCCGCCGTGTTGATATCGATGAAGAGCGATCGGTTAATGGTGTATCCCATTCCGATTCAGCAGGCTGGTATACATCACCTGGGCCTTTAAGCGATAGCCGACTTAATGCCTTGTTTAATGAAAAGTCGTGCTAGTGAGACCGTGCTTATGGTTGCAGTGCTGATCGCCTTGCACCTGGGAATCTCTCGCCGGCTTAGCCCGGGAATCGGAATTACGAGCCAGAGTCCAGGAGAATCGTATATTGCGTGGCTACGGTAGTCGTACATACCCTGCGCTGAGGGAGATGTTCTCGTGATTCGGTCCCCTGCCCAAGAGAAAAAGTCATAATACGTCTGTGTGCTTAGTGCGAGTTTTTTAACGTTCTCGATCGCGTTTTTTTTTCCTACCTATGCTGATAGCCTTGAGAGGCTATTTCAGCTTACCCTAGCGTGTGTAGGTGAGCTCACGGGGCTCAAACCGGAGAGTTGCTAACACTGACCCTAGCAAGAGCAGTGCTTCGCAGAATCTACCACCGGGTCGGAAACGCGACCCACTGAGAAGATCCGGCGAGAAACTCAGTGGGCTGTGTCTGTGGGTTAATTCGCTCGTCGAGTCCTTCGTCGCAAGCGACGGGTTCGACGAGGATGGTGACCGGTGCTTGTAGTGCCTAAAAGCGCCGTTAATGGATCAGGAGGATCCGTGATGACGTGCTTTGGGCGACGTCGACGGTTTACCATTCGGTCTACAGGATCGGGTATGTAGTTTCCGGCGGCCACGACAAGAGAGTTCTCATGTCGTACCGTCTTCTCAAAGTGGCGCAGCGATGCCGACTGTAGGTACTTACTGACGGGGTCGAGCTCCAGGTCATCGTGGAGATCCACGTTCCTCTGGAACCATGGTGCTCCGACGGCTACCCTGCTGAATCGGGATTGCTCGATCGCGTAAAATATAACTCTAATTTATATGCAGTTGGAACAGCGTCCCTAGCGGTAAACGTAGGCAAACGTTCAAAATGCATACAAATTTGAGTTAACTTTTACGCTATCGAGAACTTTAAAAAACTCGCCCTAAGCACATTAAGCCAATATGAGGTCTTTGACATCTCGTAGAAGGCAGCAGCTTTTCTGTGCTCCAAGTCGTGCTGTGTAAACGACAGTCAGACACTACTAAATCTATACTTCTATACTTATACTTATACATAATATTATAAAGAGGAAAGATTTGTTTGTATTGAATAGGCTCCGAAACTACTGAACCATTTGAAAAATTCTTCCACTGTTTGGAAGCTACACTATTCCCTAGTGACATAGGCAAAAAATTAGCGATCCCTACTAAAACTCCAATAATGTAACTCAAGGTGTAAAAAAATACCTAAAACATTCCTTACACCGCGTGCGCTGCGAAAACTATTGATGATAGAATAAAATAAAACTATTATAGTTATGCCACAATAAGTGTTCTTTTATTTTAAAAACTAAAACAACGTCGTTGAAATTTTTGTTAAAGATCTGAGCGGAGCCGGAGCGGGCCGCTATATATAATATGAGTGTAAAATAATTGTTTTACCTTAGATGTATCATACAGATTCATTTAGTGACGCTTGTTCTCTGATGTCACGTCTACCTTGACCATCATGTCCTTGCAGTTTTCCTCAAGCTGTATTTAATTGTTTGTTTTATAAAATAGTAACTTGAATGATTGTTTTTTGCCCAATATTTCTGATGTTTTACGTTTTAGACGTAAGGGACCTTTCGTTATTGGATCGGGATGTAATGAGTTCTGTAAGCCTTGTATCTCAGACCAGGCACGAGGTTGTAGGAATGAACTCCTATCTAGTAAAAAGTAGTGTGATGTGTTGTGATGAATTTTTAATTGCTTTAGATTTATATAGGATTCATCACCTTTCTGGCGTTGAGTGATTCGTATTGTTAAAAGCCCACTGAGTTTCTCGCCGGATATTCTCAGTGGGTCGCGTTTTCGATCCGGTGGTGGCTAGTGTTAGCAACGTCGTCAGGTTAGAGCCCCGTGAGCTCACCTACTCACTCGATTACGTTGCCATAGCCCTCCCAGTAAGTCTTACTTAAACTTAGGTAGGAAAAATAAATAAAAACCGCGGTACAGCTTCTGGTATTGAAGCTTTGAAGAACGATTTTCATGTTACAACCATCGAAACACTTAGCAATTCACTTACACAGCCCTTTGGGATCTCATCCGCATCGACGGACTGAAGTACTCTACCGCACCTAGTTCGATAAAAAATATAGTGACAGAAATTCAGCTTAGTCTAACAAAGCACAGCTCAGAATAACTTGATGCGTAAGCGACCCTAATTTAGCATCGGTAAAAAGCTCAGTATTTTATCAATTTCCTAATTATATTTGATAACATTCTGTTCGAAAAACACTTCCATAAATAAGTATTTTAAAAGAGATAAATATATCTATAATAACTTTGGGCATTAGATTGAAAAGACAAACATTCCGTATAATCGCGGTTTAACTTTAGCGATGACGCTATTCGAGTCATGATTGTTTTTTTATGTTTGAGAGATAACTGGTGGCCCGGAGGCCTTTACAGTTTTACCAGGGCAGGTGGGCGTGCAAGGGCTCAGCCAGGAGGGGTGGGATTTGCTAACAGCTACCCGAGCGCTTCCAAAGGAGACCTAACAAGCTACCTACCTGCTAGCTACTTCGCGAATGGATCTGCTGCCGGATCGGNTGACGCTATTCGAGTCATGATTGTTTTTTTATGTTTGAGAGATAACTGGTGGCCCGGAGGCCTTTACAGTTTTACCAGGGCAGGTGGGCGTGCAAGGGCTCAGCCAGGAGGGGTGGGATTTGCTAACAGCTACCCGAGCGCTTCCAAAGGAGACCTAACAAGCTACCTACCTGCTAGCTACTTCGCGAATGGATCTGCTACCGGATCGGAATCGAGACTGGCTGAGAAGATCCGGCGAGAAATTCAGCGGGCCTATGTTTCACATCGAACTCTTTGTCAAGTTTGACAAGTGCGGTTACCGGGGTCCCTACTCCTAGTGTTAGTGCTAAAGGTGTCTAATGTAAGGGTTATTGGATCTGATGGATCCGTAAGGACGTGTCTAGGTCGTTGGACGGTGACTGGCTCCTGCGTGATCAGGATTCGGGGAGTTGACAGCGGCGGCAACGATAAGGCG